CCGCGAAGCGCTTGCACGGGAGGTCGCCCTTCGCGTCGATCTTGTACTCATTCTCGTCAAACCCAACATCCGAGAGAAAAGACACCAGGCACTTGGAAATGGCCTCGAGGGAGGTCGGTCGCTGTGCGACCGCGATGAGGAGCGTGCTATCAGGGTCCCTGCCGAAGCCTTGTAGCACCTGCGGGGCAGGTTGGGGCCGCTGCTCGGCGACCGCAATATGACGCCTGAGCTCTTCAATCTGTGCACGAAGCTGGGCAAGATCATCATCATGTGAAGCCATGCGCCGCTCGCAAGCAACAAGCTTCGTAGAGTGTTCTTCGGTCTGGGACTGGAGCCTGCGTGCGAGGGCGTCGACCTGGGGGCGCACGCCGTTCTGAACCTGCTGGTCATTCGCCTCGGACTGACCAGAGACCTGAGCTCGCAGCGCGTCGATGGAGTTGAGGAGGACGGCATGATTGGCGGTGACTGTCGTGCCGACGGACTCCGCGACCGAGGCGGTGAAAGCCTCCCGCATGCCCGCGAACTCGTCTCTGCACAATTGGCGGAGGTAATCGTCACTGGTCCAAGCATCATCATCAGCGTGCTCACCGTCAGCACCAGACAGAACCTGCGCAGCACGTTTGCGGGGCGGGGCGGAGCCAGCACCTTTGCCATCTTTGCCACGGCCGACAGACTCCTGGAACGGGAAGGTCGGAGCGAGGTCGAGACTCTCCAGCAGGGTGGGCGAGATCGCATTCCCCGAGGACCCATCTGCCATGCTGGGATGGATGAGCGGGAAGTAAACTGGGTGTGCAGGGGCCCAAATCCTACAGTAGAGGCCGAAGATGGATGCCAGGCACAGGTGCCTTGCTCGCCGCGGGCTAGCGGTATCCAGTCGTGCCAATGCGGGCTCAGCCCGCGACAGCATGGGTCTTGAGCCAAAATGGCTACGGAGGAGGAGGAGGAGGAGAAGGAAAAGGAAAAGGAGGAGCAGGAGGAGGAGGAGGAGAGCTGGAGAAGGAGAGGAGGAGGAGGAGGAGGAGGAGGAGAAGGAAAAGGAGGAGCAGGAGGAGGAGGAGGAGGAGGAGAGCTGGAGAAGGAGAGAAGGAGGAGGAGGGGGAGGAGGAGGAGGAGGAGGAGGAGGAGGAGCAGGAGAAGGGGCTGGAGGAGCAGGAGGAGCAGCAGGACCAGAGAGTACACCAGGATGCATCAGCCATGCTGCGACACACCCTTGAAGGGGCCCTGGGACACACAAATAAATACACACAAATAAAAAGATTCCCCATCTTTTCCTATATTTTCTGGGTTTTTGTCTTCCCCCCACTTCCCATATTTTCCCATATTTTTGGGGAATCGAGGATGAATTGTGTCTGTGTGTTTTTCCCCTCCTGAACCCTCCCGTCCCCAGTCTCCTCCTTTGAAGTCCGTAAGAATATCCCTTTCCGCTGCGGGAGGCGTCCCCCCCCCCGCCCCTGGAATGACGAGCGCCCTGTGGACCTGCCACCGCAGGCGAGACACCCTGGTTCCGGAAGGATCCTCCCTCCGTCCTTCTAGCAACGATGGTAAATGGTACAGTCGGGGCCTTGACCTAAGGAACCCTAAATAAGGAACGAGGCCCCTGTTTTCCATAAGGTAAACTTCGACTTCCCTTCGAAAACCTAAGGAAAACCTGAGGCAAGCTGTGAAACACTTGAGGAATACGGAGCCCCTCCCCAACCAAAAGGGTCCCTTCTTCAGGGCCCCGACTGTAAATTGTAGGAGGTACAACGGTAAATGTTCTAAGTATCTAGGATGGTAAGAGGTAGGAGGTAAGGAGGTTGGGATGTTCCAGGATGGGATGGAGGTAGTAGGAGGTAAGCAGATAGGATGGAAGGTTCAAGGAGGTAGGAGGTTCAAAAATGGTAGATCAAAACATGCAAAGAGGTGGGATGGCTAAGTTCCCGGTAGCATCCGGCGACGGCCCCAAGTTTGAGAATGATGTGCCCTCCATCCGTGCGAGTGCTGCGGGGTCAGAACGAGGCAGGAAGGAGCGAACGCCACGCAAGCCGGGGACGGAGAGCGCGGGGCAGCATTTTTCCCGCGGAAAACAACCCTGACCCTCCTGAGGTTGTCACCAGAATGCGCAGCGGAGAAGCGTGCAGCAGGAGGCGGAGGAGGAGGACAACGCAGAGACCGCAAGCGGAGGCCAAAGAGGCGCCCCCCCCACCCCAAGGCGCACCCAGAAGTCATGCAGACAGCGGGGCAGGAATGAGAAGGAGGAGGATCTCGCTCACCCCTGTGCGCCTTCAAAACCCTCTGCGGAAGATAGCGGGGGTGGAGCCACACCCGGCGGCGCTGCAGGCCATCTGTGCCTGCCTCTCTTGGGCTGCTCTGCCACCCTTGACCCCTTCCTGCTCTCTGCTCTTCAGTGGCTCTGCGGTGGACACTACAGAAAAAACCTGGGTACCGTCGAAACGCAGCCACAAGGAACCCTGCAGAAGGAACGAGGCCCCTATCTTATCCACAAGTTAAGCTTCGCCTTCCCATCGAACACCCAAGGAAGCTCTTGTAACATATAAACAAATTGAGGAACACTGGGCCCCTCCCCCACGAAAAGGGCCCAGGAAAAGGAGTGCCCAGAGGCATTACTGGTCGGACTCAGGAGGAGGATGCAGAGGACGGGGGGAGGCGGCGGAGGGGGGCGAGGCTGTTGGCTGAAGGCAGGAAACCTGGCCAATGCCAGGCTGCGCTCCACGGGACCGAGCGTTACGACACACCGGGCCCAATGGGCGGGGCCGCAGGCCGGCTTGCCAGCCAAAGGGCACTGCGGTTCTGCCTCCCTGGGCCCGACCGGGGCAGGGGGTAGAGCCCCAGCTTCCCAAGCGGAGCCCGGCCGTGGCACCGCTGGCGCTCCAGACATGCGATGCCTTAACTTGTCCCGACCCCTTGCCCCGGGGTCGCTTTGCCCTCCCGAGTCGTTCTGTCGACGAGGGCCCCCGGAGGCCGGAGACCGCGAGAGAGCTGCGCGTCGTGCCTTCTCTGAAGGGGCCCACAAACGCACAAATAAATACACACAATAAAAAGACTCCCCATATTTTCCTATGTTTTCTGGGTTTCTGTCTTCCCCCCCACTTCCCATAGTTTCCTCTATTTTCTGGGTTTCTGTCTTCCCCCCCACTTCCCATAGTTTCCCCTATTCTCTGGGGAGTCGACGATGAATTGTGTCTGTGTGTGTCTTTCTCCCTCCTGAAGGACTGCGCGTCGTGACCTCTTCGCGACGCCCACGTGTCCGGGGCGCGTGCGCAGGAGGGGGGCGTGGGGAGCCCTCGTGGCCTCCCCCCGCGCCCCTCCGCGGACCTCCTGCCCTGCTGCCTGAACCAGCCTCCTCCTCCTCCTCCTCCTCCTCCTCCTCCTCCTCCTCCTCCGCCTCCTCCTCCTTCTCCTCCTCCTCCTCCTCCTCCTCCTCCTCCTCCTCCTCTGCCTCAGTCAGCCGTCAGTGAAAGGAGGTGGTGGGGCGGGCACATTAGGAAGGTGATTTGGCGGCGAGCGAGGGGGGGGGAAGTGAGGAGGGGCGGGCCTTCTCAGAAGGCTCGGAAGTCACCCAGCCTTTTGAGAAGCTATCCGAGCCTTCCCCGAAGACACAGAGAACTTCTCAAAAGGCCAGAAGCCTTCTGAGAAGACCCGCCTGCCTTCTGACAAGGCCTTCTACTTCTCACTCCCCCCCCTCGGTCGCCGCCGAATTAAGAAGGTGACGCTCACGCCCGCCTCCACAGTCAGGGAGCCTCTCCCAAAGCACTCCCGCGGACCTCCCAGAAGTTCTGCAAACGCCTTCTCTTTCTCACTTCCCCCCCTGGCTCGCCGCCGAAATGAGGAGGCCCGGCGGGCACACTGAGAAGGTGATACTCACACCCGCCTCCGCAGGTCACTCGCCGGCGGACAGAGGACGGGAGGGCAGAGGACTGGAGGACAGAGGCAGGGGAGCGCAGGCAGGAGGGAGAGGGACGGAGAACAGCCGGAGGAAGACGGAGAGGAGGAGGAGGAGGAGGAGGAGGAGGAGGAGGAGAAGAAGGAGGACAGAGGAGGAGGAGGAGGAGGAGGAGGAGGACAGAGGAGGAGGAGGAGGAGGAGGAGGAGGAGGAGGAGGAGGAGGAAGAGAAGGACGGAGGAGGAGGAGGAGGACGGAGGAGGAGGAGGAGGAGGACGGAGGACGAGGACCACGGAGGACGGAGGGCGGAGGGTCAGAGCCTCTCCGCGGACCTCCCGCCGGCGGCCAAACACGCGGGGAGGGGACGCCACCCCCGAGACGGCACGGCGAGCGGCCTCTCCGAGGCGCAGAGGGGCCCGCAGCAGGGGGGGCGGAGACCCGTGGGCCCGGGCCGAGGTGCACGCACGCGCGCTGCGCGGCAGCCTGGTCGCGACGGCGGCGACGAGGACGACGACGGCGACGACGACGACGACGACGATAGCGACGACGACGACGACGACGACGACGACGACGACGACGACGACGACGGTTACGACGAGAAGACAGCGACGGCGACGGCGACAACGACGACGACGACGACGACGACGACGACGACGACGACGACGACGACGACGACAGCGACGGGGCTGCAGCGACAGCGAAACGGCAGCGGCAGTGACATCGGCATCGACGGCAACGGCAACAGCGACACGCGACAGCGACAGCGACGACACCGACGCCAGCGATGAGGACAGCGACGGCGACGACGGCGGCGGGGGCGGCCGTCGTGGGGGAGGGTTCCCTGGCCTGGGTCAAGTTGGCGCCCGAGACATGCGACGCCTTGATCTTTTCAGTATGCGGTCCCCGGAAGCCTGACAGAAGCCTCGACCCTTTCCCAATCGTTTTTGGACAGCCGGGGGGCCCAGCGAGGGCCCCCGCGAGGCCGGAAAAGACCAAAACACCTCCCGCCATGATTCCTCCACGACGCAAGCCTGTCCGGGCGCGGGCGCGCGAGGGCGAGAGGCAGACCCGACTGCGGCCGGGCCCGCCCGCGGGCGCGGGAGGGGCGCGGCGCGGCGGCGTCCTCCTGGGGCTGCGCCGCGCAGCTCGCCTGCGTTGCCTGCGGGGGCGGCCCGGTCGGCGCCGCACCCGCCGTTGTCGCCGTCGCGGCCGCCGTTAGCTCAGGCGTGCCCTCGTCGCGAGCAAGAGCACGACGGGAAATCTCCGTGGCCGCTCTCGGCCTCCGGGGGCCCTCGCCGGAGGCCTCCGCGGACCCAGCCAGCGCAAGGGGCGCCCACGAGGCGAAAGCTTGGCGGACCCAACCAGCACACGGGGCGCCCACGAGGCGCCGATGGGCGCCCACCAGGCGAAACCTCGGCGGACCCAACCAGTTGCTCATCGAGGACACCCAAAGTGCAAACACTGTTCCGGGAAATGTGCCAAACCCTTGGGTGGGCCGCGGCGTGTGTAAAACACTTTCCCCGGGTGCCTGCAGAATCATATGCCCCAGAAGAGTTCCCAAAACCCACCAAAAACTGCCCACTGATGGCTGTGTAAATCGGCGACGATTTGGGGTGTGCAACGTAAGCATACCCATAGCCGGCGGCATCATGGCGCAATGTATGCGTGATGGGATATTGTGCGCGCGGAGACTCGATTTGCTTGGGATGGTTCCTCCGCTCCTCTATCATGGCGACAGCAAATGCAGGGGCGAATATCCGATTCCGCTTCGCGAAATACATCCCCAGGACGAAAGTGTTGTCCTCTTGGGCCCGGAACGAAGGTTTGAAGTCTTAAGCAGACGCGTGTGATACCCGCCGTCGGATCCAATAAAGTTCGCGCGGATCCAATGTTGGTTTTCGTTTGTATTTCGGTGAATCCAATTTCCGTCCGCGCGGATCCGATTTCGGATTTGCTGGATCCGTGTCCCGTCTTATTTTTCACGGCGGATCCAATTTTCTCCCCTGTTTGAAATTTATAATATTAAATTAAAACAGAGAACCGGGAGAAATCGGATCCGCGGACCCCGCAAACCGCCCGTGTTAAGATTCTACGGGAGATGGGGGGTTCGGTCATCAACTTTCCACGATGGGCGCTGCGTCGTCTCGTGCACTCCCATCAACTCCCCACGCGAGCGGGCCCCATTCAACATGAATACATACATCCCTCTCACCCCGGTTGCTGCAAACAGCTCGTCTGGTCGCCGTCCGTTCGGCGGCGCCGACGTTGTCTCGCGAACTCCTCGTGGCCATTTTCACCTCAAGAGGAAAATCTTTCGTCCTGCGTAAGTAAGTAGCACTTTGTACACACAGCGGACGATGTATCGCAAAGGTTGCGCGCAACTGGGCCACAACAGCTGCGGTACAGCAGAACGCTTCTACAACAACTCCCATGACGTACCGATCTAGTCGAGCGGAAAAAAGCTCTCCCGTCCAGTGGGTTGTAACCGTGAATCTCGCGACTGCGGCGTGTGCTCCACACTGTGGTAACACAACGACGACGCAGCACTCATTAACGGGAGGCCGCACTACACCAGGATAATGTGCGCTATCTATTTCCACTGCGCAAGATGGGCCACTGTCAAGGCCTTGCTTCTCCGGCAGGGTTCTAGCAAAACAGGGAGACAACAGGGTGGCACCTGCATCGAACTGGCACTGTCCGACTGCGCGAGGTGACCGCTCACAGTGATGGAATTGCTCTACGTGGGCAAATGGAACGCGATCAAATCAGCAATGGCGTTTTAACGCGCTACTTCCAAAAGAATATGTTGGTAAATTGAGCCTTCGGCGTGCCCGTCAGCCGTCATAGCGCGCCCATACAGTGGAGGCCAGTCCACAAAAAAACCTTCCACAAGAAACCCAACCCTGAGACCACAGGACGTCCATTGATTTTTGGTGTGGGAACGTCAAGCTTTCTATAGCAAAACCATCGAAACCCAAGAAACCCAGCATGGGCCCTCACTATAACAGCACTCTGCACTTTCGACGACCCCACGCTCCTTCAGCTCACGCAATCGAAAGAATTATCCAATCAACGTCTTCTCGCTGGGCAATGTGGGATCCTTGCTCGGGAAGAACTTCTATACCAGTTATGCATCGATTGCGAACGTCACCATGAGCGTGAGAACACCATGCGACTCCATGAGACAACTGCGCAAAGCTGGGCAGGCGCAACATTCTTCAGCCGGCGCATGACGATGACGGCGGCGCGCGTCCTCCATGCCACAAGATGCACCATGCGCCTCTGCTAAAAAGAACTGCTTCGAATATGAGGCCAATGAGACTTGCGGGTCGTATCCACCCCGCGAGCGTCCTCTCGGAGCCTCCGCTTGAAAAAAATCTGACGCTTCGAGCGCCGTGTGGTTGCTGCTCCCGCCGCGTCGCGCTTCGAAAGGCCCCTGCGCGCGGGACCCGCGCGCGTCGGGAATTACCGGCCTCGAACTTATCCCTATCCCTAAGATTGACACGCCAAAAGGCGATGACAATCTTAGGGATGCGCCCTCAAAAAATAAGGGAATCCCTAAGATTGGCATCGGGATGAGGAGGTGGCCAGCATAGGGATAGGGATATGTTCCAGGCTGGTAAGGGAAGGCGCGCTGGCCGCACCCGGAGAGGAGCGCTGCCGCGCACCACGCCCGCGGCCGACGGCCGCGCAGACCTGCGCAGACCTGCGCAGGCCCTGCCCGCAGGCCTGTGATGTTCTAAACTACAGGGCAGTTTTAAATACATTTTTGAATATAGAATATTTAATACATGACTAATTTACGAGTGCATTTATGCATGAACTCCTCGTCGTTGGCCGTGGCCACCAGAAAGGATTTCGAGCACCAAGGACCTGCCGAAACGGGAGGGCTCTCTCACGCGTCGGGCCCCGGGAGGCGATCTGCTCGTCCGACACCGCTTCGAGACTTTGTCTGGGTGCTCCTCGAGGGATGGTTTCTGGGGTGTGGCCCTGCAGTGCGACGGGAGCAGCAGGACCCCAGACAGCCACGCCCCCCCCTCTCCCCAATTTCAAAGTTGGCCTCAAGCATTTGGCAGCACAGGCGTGAGAGGACAAAAAAAGTGGAACCCCCAGGGCCTCCGAGAGGCCGAACCCAACTTTGAAATTGGGGGGAGGGGGGGGAGGGGGGGGCGAATACGGGGCCGAAGACGAAGGGGTTCCATTCTTTTCTCCCCTTACCGGAGCAGCATGACCCCGGGCGGCCGTGGGACCCCTCGGAGACCTCTCCGTGCTCGGCAGCGCGGGGGTCGGCCGCCGTCGCGCGGGGGTCGGCGACGGCAGGGCGAGGCGAGGCGCGGGGCGCAGAGCCGAGGGGAGAAGACGAGGGCGGCCGCGGAGGATCCGGGGGACGCACAGACTGGCCATCGCTCGGACGTCCATTCGCTGTTTTTTTTCGGTTCCGTGCGTGGTTTTTTCGCCAAATGATCAGGGATGCTCCTCGATGGCCCTCGCCGAGAAGAAAATGCACACGTCCGAGCGATGCCAGGCAGATGTGTATCGTTGTGGATGCCATGACACTGGACGCCCTAACAATCCTACCGTTGAATTAAGGATGTGTTAAAAATGTGTGGCACATGTTCTAAAAACGCTTCAAGCATGTTAAAACTGATGTAAAGCATGTTTGAAACACTTTTAGACATCTGGCAGTGATTTGGGCAGCATGCTTCATCTCCATGAACCGACTTCCACAAGTGTATCGTCGATATATCGCCGAGGCATCGCCGATGCATCGGCGATGCGGCGCGATCCTTCGACACCATCTACTCGGACCCCATCGAGGAGGCCCAGAGAAAACCCGCGGCCACACGACTCGTCGCGGGGGCGACAAGGGCGGCCCGACTCGCGGGGAACGGCGGAGGGGGGCGGGGGGGGGGGCGTCGCGGCCAGAGGAGACCCTGCGATCCGACGTCTCGAAAAAATTGAGACGTCGCCCCGGACCCCATCTTTCTGCGCCATTGTTTCGAGCCGGGTACATCTGTGAGGGTCCCGGGGCCCGAACCTGGGCGAAAACGTCCGGCTCGAAAAACTTGAGTCGCCAGGGTCTCAGCTCAAGGCCAGGGGCTGGGGGGGAAGGGGGGGGCAGGCGCTGGCCCGGGCAGGGCTCGCCCTGGCAAGGAGGCGGTCTCCTGGCAGGGGCCGCAGGCCCAACTTCCCCGCTGGCGGAGTGCACGGATAGGGGAACAGAAAGTGACATAGACATAAAAACTTGGAGGTCCGCGCGGATTTCTCGGATCGTCGCTGGACCCCCCTCCCTGGCGTGCGGAGCGCGCCAAGGGCGGCGCCGGAGGCGCCGCCGGGGGGCCCCAGCGCCGATCCGAGAAATCCGCGCCGACCTCCGAGTTTTTATGTTTATGTCACTTTTTGTTCCCCTAACGGAGCATGCCCGGGCCACCTCCGCTGCGGCGCGCGAGGGAGCTCCCACGGGGGCCGTGGCCGCCACCGGTCGCCACGGCGGTGGCGCTCTGAGGCCCGGCTCCGCCTGCAGTCTCCCGCCGGCGGGGGAGAGCGCGCGCGCGGCCGCGCAAGGGGGGGGGCGCGGGCGGCGGAGGGCGCGCCGCTCCTCGCCCGGCGGCGGGGAAGTCCGACCCCTGACCTTCCAGGAGGGCTAAAAAAATAGCACGCGACTTGAAAACCTATCCCAGAGCTATTCTACGTCTTGGTTTTAGGCTGTTTCGCTTCGTTTTTTTTTAGTTGTTAGCCCTCCCGTGCTAAAGAATAGCTCTCTGGAAGGTCAGGGACGGGCGGCGGGAGCAGACGCGGCAGGGCGCACCGTCGGACCTGGGCCAGACGAGCAGGCCTCGGGGGCACGAGGCCCTCTGCGGGCCAGAAGGAGCAGAGCAGCCCATCGAGGGGGTGGCCTCCCCAGGAGGCACAAAAGAGAGCATCCGGCAGGCACGAGGAGCACGAGGGCACCCCCTCCCCGAGCCGACCCCGAGCGTGCCCTCGGTCGGAGGAGGAGGAGGAGGAGGAGGAGGAGGAGGAGGAGGAGGAGGAGGAGGAAAGAGGAGGAAGAGGATGAGGAGGAGGAGGAGGAGGAGGAGGAGGAGGAGGAGGTGCAGAGGGCGAGGGAGAAGAGGCACGAGACAGCTTCGGCGGCGAGCTCAGGCCTAGAAGCGCGAGCGGGCAGGCCCGCTCCGCAGAGGCGGCGGGGCCTCTCGGAGGCCCCCTCGGCGCCCGCCGAAGAGCTCGGCGAGCCCTCGCCGAGGCCCCGCCTTCCCTGCTGGGCAGGCCTGGCCCCCTCTCTCGCTTCCCCCCCGTGGGCTCGCCGCTTGCCGACTGCAGGGGAGAAGGGCCAAGAGAGAGAGAGAGGGGGCGGAAAAAACAGGCCGAGCGCGCCGGCACGGGGCCGCTGCCTGCTTCGGCGTCTCGGCATGGGCGGAAGTGGGGGGG